GATCCTTGCTTGTGTTGTATCTGCTCTCAGATGTACGTCGCTTTGGTTAAAGGCTAAATGAAACTATAGAATTCTAGAAAGCAACTAAGGGATCAGCAGAGTCATCGGGATTCATCCTGAGGGAGGTGAGCACGTCTGTACAGTTGATGTGAACCTCATGGTGGCGCTACGGGGGAAGCTGGACAATCTTCAGAGTCGGTAAAAGTTAATAAAATGTCAGTTTTGTGTCTGAGTTTGTAATAACAGGAAGACTCACCAGTGGGACCAACTCTACTCTAACTCCTTATATTATTTACACTTTCCACGTCCAAGGTCATAAAACCACTTCTTTAACCTGAAGCCATCGTACCCTTTAGGCTTCAGGCATCCCAACCCAATATCTGTTTTTAAAAAATCTGTTTAGTAGTCTATCTTTTAGATTTCCCTTTTTTTAACTCAGCGTCCTGGTGTTGTACACGGCAGGACTGTTGAACAGAACGGAGCTCAATGCGAGTCCTAGCAGGAAAGACACAGGTGTACTTAATACTGTTAATGTCAAATCTGGACCTTTTAAGTCGTGACAGGGGGTCAGCCCTTATAAATAATGTTAATTACACCTGTGCCTTTCCTGCTTTGTAATGTCAGGACGTCGGCTGTGAGAATGACCTGCGCGCTGGTATTTCACATGTGCCGCTTGCAGCATTGAAAAATGTCGAGAGTTCAAAGTCAACAGCAACATGTTTTTCCAGAAACCGCAGAACCCACTGTCAACAGTTCTCCCACAGTCGCTCCAATCAAAACATGGCTTTTGTGATTACATTTGACATCTTTTACAAATACATTCAACCCTTAAACAATGAGCAGCCAGAAGTTCGGTTTGTTGGGTCTTTAAAAAGTGGGTTTCTTTTTTACTTTCTTTGTGTTTGTTTTTTAAAACTGGAATAAATGCAGCTAAAAATGATCCAACATAAAACTGTCTAGCAATCCATAGCAGGCTGGATGTGGCGCATCTGACCACAGATCAGCGCTGAAGAAGGAAAAGAAAAACATATCTGCAATACCTCGAGAATTAGAGTGTGTTTAAGCAGCACGTTTAACAGTACTGGGACTGATTTACCGCTCATAACATCCGAGTATATCATGTTTAATGTGTATATTTTACCTTGGGCCAGAGATAAAATATACATGTGACCCATTTGTTAGTTTTACGTTTGAAGGCGAACAAACAGAGCAGCTTCAGTGTGAATGTGGTGAGTTAAGGCTTCTTCTGTGTTCATGTGTTGCTCATTTACACAGGCAGAAGGATTGAAGTTTTATCCAAACGGATATTTCAGCAATAAAACTTTCATTTTAGGCCTTTTTTTAGGCTGATTAACAGTGAAGATCTTAAATAATTACCCAGTGTCTCACATTTGTGGCACAGCAACCTAAAGTCAACCACTTGCTCCCTGAATATTGTTCCTAATCACCTCTTTAAGGAAACATTGGGCACCTTAGGACCCGTCGTTTCTCTAATTATAAACAGCAGTCGAACAGCTGCACTCTGTTAGCCCGTCTGAAGCACCCTGCTAGCCTCCTGCTACATCAGGGGTGTCCAATCCTGGTCCTCGAGGGCCGCAATCCTGCAAGTTTTAGATGTTTCCCTCTTCCAACACACCTGATTCACATGATCAGGATGGTTATCAGGCTTCTGCAGAGCTTGATGATGAGCTGATCATTTGAATCAGGAGTGTTGGAAGAAGGAAGCATCTAAAACATGCAGGATCGTGGCCCTCGAGGACCAGGATTCGACACCCCTGTGCTACATCCTCTCACTTAGCAGACAGGTTGGAGTTAAAATAAAAAGCTTTCCAAGAAGTTTAGATATTTACATGTTTTACTATCTGCGCAGAAGCATTTCATTTAAAAAGAGACGCCCCACAGAGACGCAGTGAGAAGTACCATGAAACTGATCTCTCTGATTCTTCCCTACAGACCAGTTAAGTTACCGAGCACTTTGTCATCCACAGCTTTCTAATGAGCAACATTATTTTCATCCCACACATCTATTTCTGCTCACAGAACCAGATCAGTTCAGAGCTCAGGTTTGGTTCTGATGTTACTTCTGCTGCTCTGTTCTGCTGCTGCCTTCACAGAGTGTCTGGGTCACTGGTGGAGCCGGACGACTCCAGAAAACTCACACTGGGAGGCAAAATATATCTTTTTTTAATGTTTTCAGCAAAAATCTGTCAATGAAACTGACATTTTTTTAGCTTTCTCTCTCTACCATTTGCTTTGACTGCCATG